AAGCGCTTGGTTGGGGATTTAGCATGGACGCTTAGGTCTTGCATATGCACCCATAAGGTGGTACCTTGACACCAACCCAGGTGAGCTAGACTTGGACTCTTTTGGCCTTGTGTCTCAAGTCATTTCCTCCTATTTCACTCCAATATCTGGCTAATGCATTTTTTATGCCCAAATAAGTACATATATCATGCAATTACACAGAGTAACTGAAAAAACATAAATAGGAACAAATAATAGATAAAAATGCAAGGAACTTAAGGTACATTGTCACATAATTTCCACATATCGTAAAGTTGTGCAATTTTTGCTAGGCATGCTAATGGTGGTAGGTGGCCTTCTTGAAGAAATATAAAAAATAGCTAAACCATGCACATGTAGTCCAAGCAGCATGAAAATTTGCCCAAACATAATGCTCATGAGGGGACCAAATTTACTTTGAAGTTAAAATTTTAATTTTTGTAATTTTATCTTTGCAATACTATATTATAATTTTAAGTTTTTAAGTATTTTTTAAATTAAAATTTTAAGTTTCATTATACTTTGAAATTTTAAATTATGAGAAGATACTTTACAAAATCATTAAAAAATAATAAATTGCATGTAATTAATTATTCAAGATTTTCTCCATGAAATTTAAGCTGCCAAGAGGTGTTAATTTCCCATTATTTCAATCATTGGACCATCCCCACTCTCCCACCTAATATGTCTTTTTAAAATTGCTTTAAGATTTTTGTTCACACTATTTACTTTCTGGTTTGATGAATGAAAATATTGTTAATTAAAAAAAATAGAAATTTTTAATAGATTGGTGTATAAGACAAATGTAATTTATTATAAGATGAATTTGATTGCATCAATAATTATTAATTTCTTATGAGTGAATAATGATAATTGCATAATTTTTATTAAGCATAAAGATAGAAACAAGCATGCAATAAGGTGAAGGTAGTTCAAGTTATTATTAGATCAACTACACTAATAGTCTCATTCTTATAAATATTAATAAAGAATTAAAAGTGATGATTAATTTAACCTATGATTGATTTAATACAACCTATGCAGAAGCATTGATAAATTGAAGTCAACCTCTACAAATGCTCTATTATCATAAAGATCTTGTTCTTTCTTTAGATTTTCTTCTCCAATAACTTTAAACACATAAAATTAAGTGGTGAGTCCAATTGAAAGGAGAAGCAAATAATAAGAGCAAAAGTGCTTAAAAATTTTATTCTAAATTAGATTTTATTATTACAAGAGATTCTTGATATATGTTAATGAAAACCATTTAACTTAACTTACATGCCACTATTTTTAATATCATGAAATCCTTATGCAGGTTATGACATAAAAATAGTCCAATAAATAAAAACCTAAAATATAACTTCATAGCGTAATTTTCTAACAACATCGAAGAAAAAAATAATATTATATCATAATAGCTCTATAGCATAAGGGTGCAAATTATAATTAATTATATGTTTAATATATAAACTTGAACTTTATGATGATGATGATGACAATGATGGCTATGATGTCATATATCAACTCTCTCTGCATTCAAATATTCTCCAAAGAAAAGTGAAATTTTAAGTAATCTTGTTGCAACTATGGGCTCAACTATTATAGTTCATTGAAAATAATCCATAAATCATTAAATAGAGAAAGCACCTGTCTAACGAAATTTTTTTTTTGAATGCATTAATTAGATATGATAATTATCTAATCCTCTCATATTTGATTTGGAATGTGAAATATTAAATGACAAAATGGTAAAGGAGTCAATGAAGGAGTATTAACCTACATGTTACTACTATTTATAAAGCGGGTAATGATATCCAATACTTTCTTCTGATATAACATCAAATTAACCTATTTAGTACTAGTGAAAATATAAAATCCATTAGAATATCAATTTTATAAGATTTACCTTTCTCAGTATTTTATAGGTACCAAATTTCTTTATAAGTTCTTAAGAGTTATGCTAAAATTCTATCTACTTTGTTAAATTTATATGTCATCTATATGCTTCAACTCAAAATTTTATATTTACCATACCCATAGTACTTTTATGTAAACACATTTTATGTATAAAATTTTTTGATGTAAATCATGCATGCATTGTACAATGAAAATACAAATGAACTAGACATATATAATAACGGTATAATATTATGAGAGGGACTCATGTTGATTCGCCTACTCTTAAAATCATTATAATCAAACTCTATTTTAAAAAGGCTAGTTTCTAGTAGTATGATCAATCACTAAGCACCCGAACAAATCTCTTATGCCTACCTTAATAACTTTAATTTGAACATTGATTTGAGGGTGATAAGAAAAGAACAAATAAAAGAATTATGACAAATCTTATTCATTGTTTTTTTTCAAATATATTTTAAGAGCTAACATCGTGATCAAAGATAATTTTTCATTAAAAGCCCATGGAAATGGCTATCTCACAAAAGAAGATAGAAGTTATATATGAAATATCACATACCTTATAACATGGTTAGAAATCTGATCAATTGTAACTAAGATACAATATCGAGTGTTGCATAGTGTGGGATTAGAAGGGATATGTACAGTCTAGAGTTGTGATTACACACCTTGCCATTTAACCAGTTTGATATTTAGCAATAATATAAGCCACATTAACAAAAATTTCGTAGTGAAGGATCTTAAATACATAGTCGTGTACCTTAAAAGAGACAGTCATCTTGGATCTAACAATCAAAATTACTAATTGGTGCATCAAAAAACTCGATGACTAAAAAAAATGATGAAAGACTTAAAATTTTGGGTAATTATTTTTTATTTGTTTAAATCTAATTGCCTTCACACTCATAGTCTTTAGCTATGTGCAAATCAATCATTGGTGCCAAGCTTATGTTTGACATCAAAGATAGATATTCTTTTGAAAAAAATAAAATCCATTTTGTATTTTATGAGCAAAGTTTCTTGGGAGTATTAAAATATTTATAAGATTCATGACCATAGTACAGGTTAAACTTCTATGAAATGAGATAACACCGCTTGTAAAGGTTATTTGAATGATGAAAAAAAATCATAGTCATATATAAAGTAATTATGACATGCATTATTTAATTTCTTACTAAAAAACAATTATATGGCAGTTTTGCTTGAGGGCTCCTCTAATTTTAAATCCAGAAACATCAAAAGATCCACTATATCAAAATCTAGTAATTTTAACACTAACAAACTTGTCAAAAATTCCTTAAATTTAGAAAAAGTCCTAACAATTGCCTTTGACCTACGAAAATCAAATTTTTTTCTTATAATAGTATAAAATTCATGCATAAACCTGTGATAAAATATATCAAATCCATGAAAAACACAAGTAACATGAAGTTTGGTTGGAATAGGTTGGACTTGATTTTCTTCAAATCAACATCATTAGAAACGTTGAATCCTAAAAAGATCACTGAAGTAATCATGAATAAGCATTTTCTTAGATGAATATAGAGTTTTTCCTAGTAAAACACCTCAAAAGCTTGTCTTAAGTGATGCTCCTGATTGATCATGTTTTGAGTAAAAATTAAAATATCATTGAAGTACACGATCAAAAACTTTTCAATAAAGGAATAAAAGATACAAGTCATCGCTCACATGAATGTTTTATATGCATTAAGCCAACTTTTATATTAAAGGATACTTTCCATTCATCGTCTTCTTATTTATGGAATTGATAATATCCACTCAAAGGATTCTTTAAGGAGGAAATTATTGCATCAACCACCATACCTTGCATGTTATTGAGGTATGGATAACATATACTTAATAGTGATTTTTTTAAAGGCTTAACTATCCATGCTCTTAGGGCAAGTACCTTCCTTGTTTAGGTACAATGAGTAAATAGTATGCATCAAGATAAACTCCCCAAAATAAAATCTCTCAATAATAAATTACCACACTACCACACTACCATTTGAGATTTACATGTTCATTTAAATTCATATAACAATGCGCAAATTATAAATTAACAATCCAAGTATCTACTATACCACATCTAATGATCCTCAATAGAAAAAAACTGACATAGAAATTCCTCCAGACAAACATATTCATACACAGATAAAAGTTCACATATCTCAAATGATAAAAATTTGGTAAGAGATCAACTCGTATAAGCTAAAACAACTAGGACAAAAAAAAAATGTTCCAATTAACCTCCTATTGAAATTAATATTTACTAAGGAGTCATTTGGTATCACTTCTCTTTATTTATATATATATATTATTTTGTTTTATTTATGTTTTGTTTTGAAATTATTTGATATATTTGATTAAGATATGATTATGTTTTTAAATCGCTCAAAACACCCAAACAAATATTTTAAGTGTTTTCAAAAACATGTTTTTTTTTAACCAAAAATATATATGTTAAAAACAACTTAAACAAATATATTTTTAAGAAAATAATAATAACAAAGTTAATCCAAAACAAGCCCAAAATATACTAAGTGATTTTCTTCTATAAGATTATCATAAAACCTTAAAGGCATATATGTTTGAATATTAATAATTTATGGCAACTAGGAAACCATTTGGTGCTATTAATTTTAATTTTATTCGTATATTCTTTGATTTTAAACAAAACATATTTTTTATATGTGATTAAAATATGATTGTTTTGATTAAGATATTATTAATTTTTAAAACACTTAAAATACTTATATATTATTTTGAACGGTTTCAAAAAATATTAATTTATCTTTAAAAATAAGTAATGGAAATATATAAAACACACCAAATAAATATGTTTTTAAAAATAAAAGAAAAAAAAATCAAAAATCAAAAAATAAAATTAATCCCTAAGTTATTTATTTATGTGGAGATTGCTAAATACCCAAGTTAAAAAAGAGAACTAATTGTGACTCATAAGTCGGCTATAAATTGCAATTAATACAAACACTTCACTCAAATTAAAATGAACTAACAATGCATCACATAACTTAGGTATAACAGAAAATCAGGAGAGCTCATTGAGCAAAATACCCTGTCAGATTATAGCTTTAAAACTGAAAATTAACAAAAGATGTTAATATTATTTTTCCATTCAAACCTTGAACTGAAACCAATACATCAGGCATTCCCTGGAAATTTCCTGCTTACATATAGTAAAAGAACCCAAAATTCCTTATTAAATGACCTACAATCTAAATAGTAATAACCCAAAAACTTAGGAGCTCAGGTAGCTTGCTAACAATATCCAAGCCCCTAATACAAAATTAATATAAGAAAACGTATTTTTTGTCAATTCTTTAAAACTTACCACAATGAACAGAGTCGATGGATGCTGCGTGAGCTCAAAATTGCCATTTTTGCCTATCTGCAATCTCTTCATCATTCTCAACCTGCCAAGTTTCCAATTAAAAGCACAGCCTTCATAGAACTTCTATACATTACTGAATAAGAACTAGCACTTTACAAGGAGTAAGACTGCGAGAGAAATTGAAGTGAAGAGCTGTTGGATCAGTCAAATAACCCGAAGCACATACCTCGATGAGTACTCTTCCTTTTCTTTTGGATTTTGAACTAGTGACACTTTGATCAGCCTTTACAGAATCAGAACTAAATCCTCTTTGCTTTTTCTTTGGCCGATCAGCATCCATCCCATCAATAGCTTTATTTGTATCATCTGTACGGAATTAAATGATAATTTATTAAAAATGACGAGAGCGACGAAAAAATAATTGATAGTTCTATATGACCGGTGATCACTTCAATTTTCAATTCTTCTTGTCTCAAACGATATTAGTTAAAGTTTGAGAACAAATTAAATTTGCACCAAGTAGGTATCTTTTTACTTAAATTTGAGCCAAGTAGATATCTTTTTACCTTGTTCATCATCTGCAGAGTTATCTTCCTCTGCAAAACTGCCGAAATCTTCCATATCCGCTTCATCTTCAAGGTCTTCATAACATTCGACATATTCTATTTCAGGTTCCTGAATGAATGGATATGCCAATTTAAACTTAGTAAAGCATGGGATGATCATAGGTATGTGTTTTTGCACTAGTTTTAGTTAAGATTTAAAATAAAAAAAAACAGATACTAAGATAAAATAAAATTATAAACTTATTAAAATTCATCTGTGATTTAAATGGGACATGAAGGTATTGCTTGTAAAATGCAGAAGCATAACTCAATAAATATATGCGCCATACATTTGATGCAAAAAAATACATATATTTTATTTTCGGTGCTTCAGCAAAAATGGGAAAATGGATGTTTTTCTTTTTTTAATCATAGCATAAAAAAAGAATTTGCTAATTACACTAAGAATAAGGTTGCAAGCATACTTCCTCATCTTCTTCTTCCACAGCAGGCTGTAGACCTTCCATTTCAAGGACATTGTTGTAAGCCTCAACTGGGTAATTATAAATATCACCATAAACACCTTTTTTTAAGCGCTCTAGCAACTCTTTCTCAATACTCTGTAGCAAAATTAACATTTCATTTAAAAAAAAATGCGGATAGAGCAACGCAACTATGCATATGAAGAAACAAAAAGTTCAATGAATAAAGTAACCTTGTCAAGCAAAGCAGCTCTTTCAGCCTTTTCTTCCCTTCTAGCTTCTCTCTTTTTCTCTTTCCTCGGTACTGTCATAATTTTCTCCCTGCAAAACAGGGCGATCATGTTTATAAGGGAAGATCAACAAGGTATGTGTGTGTGTATTCTACTTACAAGTTCCTATAATATCAACAAAAAAGTAACCAATCAACTAGTATTGAAAAGAGTAATTTGAATACGTAGTAATCAATCAGTTAATGATCGTTAAAATCAAAATTAAAAAGTCCTCTAACATGTGAGCTGATAATTAATTGAATAACGACTTTCCTATGAATTTTAAATAATGTAATGATAGACTAATTGCAAAATACCTCACAATTTGCTTAATAAATAATGTCTTCTAATGAATTTATCATAAATATCATAACTGAAAGCATGCCAGCTATTTAATACCTCGATCATGGATTCAGTAATCCATCTTCTTTATGTGACCAATCCATCAGAGCGAAATAGCAAAATAATGATGTTGAAATTAATCAAACCTCTAATACCCAAATCTTTTAATTGGATGAAAATTGATTACAAATCACAGAAATGATCTTTACAATTAAAGCAAAGAACCTTTCGAAAATAGAGCATTAGAATTACAAAATACAGATTTTTTTACTCGTAGTTGCAACAAAACAGCGCTGATAGCTCATTAAGACAATGAAACTTAAGAAAATTATGATGAAACGTCCTTGAAATAATTGATGATGTATAATAAAGCCAAACAAATGACCAAAGATTAACATAAAGTAAAAGGGGCGTTTAAATTCATACCACACAATTCTTACATATTTACATATCTAACACCTAAACTTTCATATTTACATGCACAGCACTCAAATATTTGACAAAAAAAAAATTACCACCATTACTAACTTCTTAAAAGAGAAATACACATTTTTATGAATAGGTTTATAGCTCTAAAGTGTTATGAGTGTAAATAAAAAAATTATGTGTTAGATATGTAAATATATAAGATTTGTGTGGTAACTATGTAAATTTTCTGTATTAAAATTGTTCAAGTCATTTGAAAAAAAAGGGAGGCCATATTTCTTAGTGACCACAATCACATTAGCATTTTTTTTCCTTCAAGGCATAATCATGGTGCTATCCTAGGGAAATCAACTTCAGCGTAACAGTCTCCTTAATTTCAAAGTAATATTTCATCAATGCTTGTTGACAAAATCTGACAGATACAGAAGTTCGAAGAGCTAAACACTTAAGTTAATGGTTGTGAAATATGGTAAGCAGAAGTAACAGAAGCGGTTCAATCGTTGGCCAAAAAATTTCATAGCGCTGGATCATCAGCAGAAAGGTTTTAACATAGAAGTTCTGCTTAGCTAGCTTGATGTATAGACCTCCGATCTCAATTAAAAATTATCTTAATATTACCAAGATAAACGTTGGAAATAAAAAAAATCCAAACGAGAAAGTATACCTTCAATTTACTAAATAAAATATCATGCCATTAAACAGTAATTTAGGTTTTTTAACCATCCTCTCTTTCAAAACTGCATGAATAGTATTAAAAGCATTTGCAATTATCAATAGAAACGAATATTGTACCGTATTCATACAACCAAGATTTGGTGCTTGGGATGAGGCTAATGATGAATGGCTACTATAGCTTAAACTACTAAATTAACATTGTTTAATAAGGCATTCAAGACTTACCCCTCGAGGCGCGTCTCATACTAAGGCGCACAAAAAATCCTCAAGGCAGCCTCAATAGCACCAGTGAGGCTTGCACTTTTTTCATCTAAGACATACGCTCGAAGCATTTGAAAAAGTACCTTAGTATATTATATATTTGATACAATGCTTCAAAAAGGTCAAATGATGATTAAAGTATGATTACTTAATTATATTATTAATTTATTAATTTATTTTAAATTATATTGGATATTAAATTAATTGATAATAAGAAGAAAATTATAGTTAATAAATAACATTTTAAAGTTGTAAATGAGATGAATTAGATGATAATAAATATGATGATTCTTTTGTAAAAGATAAAAGCAATGATGAGACCACTATGAATCTTGAACCTCATGGAATATTTAAATTTTAAGTAAATACTTACTTAGAATCATATTTTGATCTTCAATTTTATATCAATATTTAAATTTAAAATTTATGATTTATATCTTTACGATAATAAATTAAATCAAGATAACAATGGTTTGTCATATTTAGGAATTATTTTCAAATTTATGCAATCTTTTTTTTTTTAAGGCTAGGCCTCAATCCGCCACGAGGCTTAAGCCTGACCTCACTAAGACAAAATGCCTCATTTCCCGCTTTTGCCTTTTAAACTTTGATAACAAATATTGATTCCGGAGTGGAAAAGACTTATTGTGATGAGCTTACTTTAAATGGTTATGATCTTACTTTGATGTTAGCAATTTAGCGTGGCACTTTTTCACTTCATAATTTTAATTAATTAAATATCTAATTATGAGGCTTCCGCCCAAGATGCCTCAAAACTTATGCCTAACCTCATAAATAGAAAACCCCTAAATACCCAATTGTGCAATTTTAAATAGTATCTCAAATGACACCACTAAGATTAAAAAAAAAAAGAAAACATTTATAGTCCAATAATAAAGACGAATAGCCAATCAAAGGTTTGCTGATCAAAAACTAGAAGAATGAACAATAAATTGCTGGATCGGAATTTAAATTATAGTGGAGGAATAATGACTTTAAAATTAGTTTTTGATATATTTACATTTGAATTTAAATTCTAAATTAGGATAGCTCTAATGTGACTATCCTCAAATTTGACAGATTTTTTTTCTAATTTGTTATTTGAAGATATAGTTGTTAATATTGTAGATTTTGTGTAGGAATTAGATCGCTTCTATTTACTAGTTAATTTAGAATGAATAAGATTTTTTCCGTTTTTGAATTACTTCCTGGTATAATTTCCATGTGTGTTTTCTTGCAGTAAATAGCCACCGACCCTGTAAACAACAGACTAGGTTGTTCGAAAGTGCCGAGTCCAACATCCCAGGGATAAAACATCAAAAAACTGCTTATTTTACCACACAACTAACCTATTTCTGTTGATTTTATTTGGCCTTCCAAGAGAAGGAACAAAAAACCAGTTGTTGTCCAGCGCATAGTCTGAAAACTGAGTTTTCCCGTTATCCACAACAAAGAAGAATCCAAATCAGAGAGGAAAACTATCTACGATGAGAAGCACTAATCTATAATTCATTGAGATTGTTAGAATTCTAGAAATTTTCCTAAGCCCACTTTTGAATCCATTCTACTCTCTTATCATGGACTTCATCATAAGGTTAAAATGTTTACTTCAGATTAAGTTGAAAATAATAAATAATAAATAACAAGGAACAAGAGAATCTCTTTTTATATTAGATTTTACATCTAAAAATCGAAGAATTAAAATAAAGAGTACTAAAAATAAGTCATCTCCTGAAATAGTTAATTAAGTCATGAGACTAATAGAACAAAAGTAAATAATGGAGTGGATGAAAATGCACCCTATTATGACATCAAAACCTAAATATCCTACCCACATTCTTCTTTTTATTCGATAACAAATGCTCTCAAGCAAATGTTGGCGATCTGGAAGATGATTATAAGAATGATGATGAAAACTGTGACAAACTAAGGGAAAATATAGAACATTTAAAGTGGAAGCCAAAGTGGATATCAAATTATGACGGAGCAGTAGATGTGTTTTCCAGTTTAAACTGAGACACCATACTCCTTATTGATGAAACTTCAACTTAAAATTATTCGTCACCAAGCAAAAATAACCTGAGGGCAATCCAAGTAACTAACCCATCAAGAGTTCTATCAAATAGATTATAATTGAGATAGGTGAAAATTAAAATTTTAACTTTTAATGATGTATTTATTTTTATAACCTGATATAATTTTAAACTTGTTCCATAATATATTTTTTATTATAATAATTTGTTTAGATAAATAGATATTTCCTAGCCAACATCGTGATAAATGTCATCATATTTTGAAGTGTTACATTAATGATACTAATTGAAATTGATGAAAACTTAAATTTTGTTAAGCATGAAAAATTCTTATTTTAATTGTTTAATTTATATCATCATAATACTTTAATTATGTGAAACAATAAAGAAATAGGCTTCATTTTCCCGTTTAAAATTTATGCTTCATTAGGTCAAATTCTTTTTTTTCCAGCTATTGCTTTTTTAAAATACTGGACGCCTAAAGAAAGAGTTCTTTAATTTTTTTTTTTTTTTTTTTCATTTTAGTGCAAAAATTGGGTTGAACACTATACCCCATTCCACTCGTTACCCTTTACGTTGAATTCAGATGGATGCAAAATGAGAATCACCAATAATGACGCTTCAAGTTTGCAATAGCTAATGATTATGGTATAAAAAAATGAGTTGAGGTGTAAGTTTCAAAACACGCCTCACAAGGAGGTACACGAAAAGTGCCTCAGCACATACACCTCTTTGCTCAAGTGAGGTTAACAGTATTCCTAAATGAGCCTGCCTCCAAGCTTTATGTCTCGAGGCATTTTAGGTGGGTACCTCAACTTAATGATGATCTAGCTCATCAAGAAGGCACAAGGATTATACTTAAAGAAGTCCACCAAGCAAGAAATACACCCCATCTCCAACACATCCTATCAAATCTATTGAAGTACTAAAACTCCATAATCACGATCAACTCTACCAATGTAAAGATAGATCGAGTGGTGAAGATCACAAATGGTTACATTAATAAAAAAAAAAAAATAAATTAAAATAAAATTAAAAGAAATAAAAAAGAAGGGACAATTACATACAGACAACCTGAAACCTGCTATTTACAAATCAAACACCCTCTTTTATCCATTTTTCAAATTCTCACTCAAATATCAAAATTTAGGTAAAACCCCAACCCATATGTTTTATTTCTATCAAATTCTCAATAATTTGATTGTGGTTCGGCAGTACAAAATATCACCTGGGTGGTTAATTTGCAAATATCAATGTTTTGAGTATTCTGCATATAATTATCCCAAAAAACAAAGAGCTACATTAAAGGAAACTT